AAACATCACCTTGCGACAGCCGCAAGGTATTGGCGAGTCAACGTATTGAGTTCTTGCAGTGTGCAGTCTTTGCTGAGAGGTAGCGAGGCAATTTGCTTAGCCACAGCAGTGGTGGCAGCCAAGTCATCTCCGAGAACAGCTCTCAGCACTCCGATTACCACGCGGCTAACTTCGGACACACAGAGTCTGTGCTTGGATGTTGGTGTTTGGAGGCTATTGAGCTGTGAGCAGAGCGCTAGTAGTCGCGGTCTCAATGCCTCGACTTTGTCTTTTGAAGGCTGCTGGGATGATTTGATCTCTTCCACGCATTCCAAAACGTGAAGGTAATGAGCGTAAACTGCGCCCCCGATCTTCCAGTCGGACACGTTCACATCTAAGCTGTCAGAGCTTGCCTCGAATGCCATGATGAAGCGACGGAGATACTGGTGGTCCTCTGCCGAATATTACGAATCAAGATTACAAACAATGGAATATCAAGTAGAGTGAACGGGCAACAATTATGTATTAAATTTAAATTAATTTCAAGACAGAAGTATGTTATACAAACTGAAAACACTTTCAAGACACAGAACTTTTGTTGATAATTCTGTAATTAATTTAACATACTCGACCATGACATGAAAAACTAGCCCTAACGAAAGAATTTACATGATAGCATGAATAATACAAAGGTCGCAGATGTCACTCACCATTAATGATGGCATTGGGAGCAATGGTGTCGATAAGCAGCTTGTGGGCTCTGTCCAGATCACCAGCCTTGATGAGGTACCAGGCTTCTTCTTCGAACATATCCAGAGAACGAGCAAGAATAGCTTTAGATTCATTTATCCATTGCTCTGGTACTTTGAGAAGATTGATTATGAAAGACTCCCTTTCTTCATATGAATCAAGGTCTCCAAAATCTTGCACCACAGAGTCGTCTACGTCATCGATGACCTCATCTGCGTTCACATCCGCTGAAGGTGTGCGTGGAGCTCGTCGAGTGATGTCTGTGTCCATAGAAATTTCGTCGTCGCCGTCGACGAAGCCAACGTCGTCGTCCATGGCGGGATCAGGGTGGTCACGACCCACGACGTTGGTCATCTCCATGTCATACTGGCCAACGTTCGTTACATCTCTAGCACCAGCCTTGATGTTTTCAGACGCGTTTCGAGCAGCAAGCATTTTTTTGTAGAGTTTTGTGAAAGAGTCGTCTTCTTTCTCAATGCCTTCTACGATTTGTACGTGGCGGCTTAACAATGATTGAACTTCACTTGCACGACTGGAAAAAAGAGAAATAGCATGAAATAAGCAAATGAGAAACATCGATGAGTCAAACAAGTGATTGTAAAAGTGTAGTAGCCAAATTAGAATATTTATGTTCAATTACTAAGAACCATGAAGAAAATGCTTACCACTTCTCTTCCTTGAGAGACATGAGGACGAATACAGCCCAGTGCCAGAGCCCCACAGATTCTAAGTGAGCCGCCATGGCGAGATGCAGAGCATTGCCGACGATGGGATTCAAGCGGTCATAACCAAGTGAATGGATGAGGGCCATCAGTAACCAGCTGGCCGACACGTCAAGAGGATCAGGAGTGACGGCAGCAGGATTGAGGAGTTGGTCGAGTCGGTAGGCGGGATCAGCATAAAGCTTCAGCAAGTGATAGCAAACATCATAACACACGCGCGATGCAGAGTCCGGCAGCGTGTGTTCCGCAAGATAACGAGGCAGCGGTTCCTGGCAGTAAGGCGACGCAGGGGCAAGCTCGTCTTTCAGTAGCCCAGCTCCACGCTCATATTCAGCCAATGCCTCGCTGATGGTGCACGTGGACGGGCACACGTACCACAAATGTACGGCCAAAGCGCGGCGCCAATCCAACCCTTTACAAACGTTAACAAAGGCATTGCTAGAAGTGTGCGTAGCTTTGCCGGCCGCCAGTACATAGAGCAATAAACGTCCCGGGGAGAGAAATGCATCAGCATTGCACTCTGCCCAGTTAGAGAGCTGCTTTGCAACGATCTGTCGTGGAGCGTCGTTACCCATGCAGATTTGAGCCAACAGTAGAGCCAGATGGTGGTCTCCTGAACGCAGAATTGGAAAATTGATCTTATTACTTGAGTAATCACTTAGATTTTCTTATAATTTCGTAACTATTGAGGAATTCATGGATAAACATTTTCTTGTTAAGATTTGGAGAATCAAAAATGTACATCTCGCACACTTAGGATTTAGTTATCAAACATTGGTCTCAATCTTAGCTATCTACTTCGAGCGATCTTACATTGAGCACAACAAAAATCGGTTCTCAGTCCAACACTTATACGAGAATGAGAAAGTCTTCGTTAACAGACAAAGCTCGATGGTTTTATCAGCTGCTAACCACATTAACATGAAACTCACGAAAATGCAAAACTACAATACAAGTGATGGTTTATATAAATTGTCATTCCGATTACTGCTCACCCTTTTCCTGAAGAAGCTCACAAGCACTTTGAATATCTCGGACCGTGAGTCGAGAGAAAACAGCGTCAAGATGTGCCTCAGCATCGTTTCCCTCAAGTGCTATTCTGGCTTCTTCCTCTACAGTGTCCTGACAGACGCTCTCCAGCCACTGACTCATTGTCTCGACACGAGCTCGAGCTTGGATGTAGACTGAGCTGGTAGCTGTGGGAAAGAAATATTAAAATATTTTATTAATAGATTGATAAGATTGATCTATAGAAATCAATTGCTTCTTGAACAGCTATATTTGCTAACGATTTGCAGCTATTGCGCATTTTTCTTAATTAGGAAGCCTTTTGGAGGTCTATATTGCCAATTATTCAAAGGGTCGGACGCAAATGTAAAATGGGTTGGTAGCATTATCATGAACACTAAGGATCTACGGGATGTATTACAATGATGAGAAACTAGAGTTGTTGGGTTGTGAATCCCAAGCTTTCTTATAACTCTATCTCGTTTCCAAGAGATGCATAACATACTGTAACAGGCAATAGTTTTCAAGTTGACTTGGATACAATACGAGATGTAATTAGTTGTCTAACATTTAGATGGCAAAAGGATAATTTATATGCAACACTGACCAGCTTCTTCAAGCCAGCCGTAGTCGAGCTTGCCCCACAATGCCATGCAGAGCTCAAAGACTGGGCAGAGCGGGTGTTGCTGAACAGAGGCGTCGTCACTAGAGCGCACAGCAGCAGCTAGGCTGTGCAGCAGACCTCTGCCGCGGCATGGCTGCAGGCGCGGTGCACTTTTGACAGAGCTCGACGCTGTAGACTTACTGTGCCGCAGCACTTCACGCAGGCACTTCTCCACAACCATCTACGCGGTATAAGTAATAAGAAAATCAGTGCATAGAAAACATTATATAATTGCATATATTACATAGTAAAGGAGACATAATAATGCAAGGTTATTATGCGTCATTTGAAAATAGTTTCATTTTTTTTAGATTTAACATTATTCTGATCTGCAGCAGCTTGCACGAGACGAGACGTGAATTCGATACGTTAATTCAGATAATGTGTAGACATATTTTCTGCTGATGATTACTATAAAATTATTTATATTTTCAGTTACTACACAAAACAATAGAGAATAAAAATTCAACATTTTAGGGATATTAGACTACAAAAAATGATAACTCACAAGTGCAGAGTCGGGGTCAGGAAGGTTCACGCTCGCGGCGGAGAGATCAGTTAAATGTAGTTTTTCAATGTGGATATTGTAGCTGCAAGAGAATAAAGAAAAATCAAAAAGTTTAATTCTACAGGTGAAGTTAAGGTCCAATTAAACGTTCCGTTGAGTTTACTCAAAAGTACCGCGAGTAGTAAGAAAATATAAATAGCTATCTATTTTTTAGATAGCGTTAGAAGAGGAAGACAAAGTCATATAACGAAGTGGCCATACAAATTGTTGTTAGTGCAACATTTTTTTCGTATTTTTATCGTTAAAATAAAAATTTGAAATACTTTCCTGCTCTACCCGGTACTATCATGAATCACACTACACTTTCAGTTTGAGTGCTATCATGTGTATAAAATAACTACTACGAACTTCCCCCAACAGACTCACGTCAGATATTTCGCCCTATCACCAGCTACTTAACGTGACATCAAAGCACAAAGTAACGCTGTGGACAAATAACGTGACACCAAGTGTAGCCACACACAGTAGCGTAATTCTACTCACAGAGGCAAGTCAGGCAGGGCGTGGTGGGAGGGTCGAGCATACGATGAGGCTTGAATGGACTGCTGGAATAAATACGGTGCAGCGGCACCGGGAGCCTCAGTGCTGTACTTGAGACGCTTCTCTCTTGCGCTTGCCTCTGCTGCTACCACATCCACCTGAACGCAGATCATACAAGTGATGACCCTTCTATTCCAACTAATGAATAGAGCTTGGCAATAAAGGTGAATTTTTTTTCATTTTAGTGAAAATCAAGAAGATATCCTGCGCGTTCACTCGTCTAATTACGGTTTAATATGATTCTCCATGCTAAAGTATTAGTTAGCAAGGAAGAAGCAGCTTCTATTCATGCCAAGATGTTAGCACTGACAGATATACAACTTTCGCGAATGCTCTCACGCCGAAACAATTTTTTTTAAACCGAAGACGCCCAAACACTAACCTCAGTGCCAAGAGGCTGGCCAGTGTGCAGCAGCTGGAAAGATGGTCCCCAGCCGACCCGCGAGCGTCGCCCCATGAAGGCGCCGAGGTCACACAAGTTCTTGTGCTGGCCATGCAAGACGCTGGAGCTCAGAGGCACCACATCCAAGTGTTGAGGGGTGACCTGAGCAGGGAACGGCGCCTTGCCGCCTCCAGAAGGCAGCGCAGGGTACGAGGACCGTGGGCCGCGGTAGTGAGATGCACCCAAAGCTGTAATACAAACTTGGTCGTTAGCAAATGAATTTTCCAATATTATCATTATTCATGAGATGAATGATTTTCTGAGCAAGGTCTAGCTAAATAACAGCTTGAAAGAGATTATTTCCATAATTACTCATATAGGTATGTCAGTATTGGCCATGTTCAGAAGAAGCTAACAATAAATTTGAATCATTCCTGTGGATAAATAAGTATATACATAAGTGTCGGATGTTCTTTTTTTAAAATAATGTGGTCATTATCAGTACATGCAAATTTAGTTAGTAGTAAAGGAACGGTACGGTGACATTACACGAGAAAATTGTGCAGGCCTCGGCATTGAAGAAGAGAAACAGCTGAACCATTTGGTAAAAAAACATATAAATGAACGAAAAAATATCTAACTCAGAAGTCAAGACACTGCGAAAGATAAGAGTAAGTACTCAGATCTCTGATGGCCTTACAGTCAGTTTGCTGAGGAAGACCTGATACTTGTGACGCCAGTTTGGGCCGAAGCACGGTACGCTCCCCAGCACTTGGACTCAGTCGCCCTTCTGGCATGTCTCCCATCAAGTCGTGACCCACGGAGCTGCGACTCAGCTCAAGCCGCCGCCCTTCATGTGCAATAAAACCACATATTAGAGGTCATACAAATAACTAAATACCCACATTGAAAAAATAACTCCAAAAATTTGTACCTGAGAAGAAGACGTTAATCGTATTTAATTATAAAATTAAAGTACAACGTAGCATGAAGAGTCACGAGGATGGTCGAAAAATTTTAGTTGCTCCAAAATTAGTAGAATGTTTTCCATTGCTTACTAAGGTAACGTTACACCTGGATCACAGTTACTTTCTTTGTACATTTTTCGTAGCTCACTAAGCTGATAGCAGAAAGTTACCTCAAAATTTATAACTTGTCTCAACGATTCAATAAACTACGAAATTGGGAAAATTTTACCGAAAAATCCAAAACTCCTTTTCTATTTCAACTAAGACTACACATGAACGATGCATATCACATTTTCTGGAGAACTAACCAGCAAACTTTTTAACCAACGACTCTGGGAGATCTCTTGTCTCTAACATGGCGCTCCGTTTAGCTGTGGCCCCATCAACACAAGTGAAGTCCATAGCTGAGTCCTGCAGTACAGTTTTTGAGCCAAACCTGTCACCAACATCACCCATGCCTTCCTCATCGTAATCTTCATCCATGGGGAAGAGGTTTGCAGTGAGTTGCTGTAGCGCTCGACTTGTTCCACTGGCTCCTGTCGTACGTAGCATTGATACAATAAATATGCAATTTTTCGACACGAGTACGGTTCAGTTGCAAGCAATAGATCACCAACAAAATTTCTTGCAAATTATCAAACGTAATGTAAAATTTTAACTTTTATGGCAGACTCGATAAAATTCTAAACCAAAGTTTAGATTCCTTGATAATAATAACTACAACACAGTAGAGCAAAAAGTTATTTAAGCTGAATAAAGGAATGGTTGAATGTTGAAGAAGAAATATACCAAGTAATTGCATATTTCACAGCCGATAAATATTTTTTTCTCCCATTTTGGGAACATCCTAAACGAATGAGGACAGAAGCTTCATTTAAACTTTATAGGCAAAAATTATATTATTAATGACGAAATTATTTTATTATCAACAACACTATTTAACTTACCCTGGGAATGATAAGGTAGTCCTAGAGACGCTCCCTCGTGGGGTTCAGCAGCAAACGAGTCCAGAAACATCTCCCCAGGCACCGAGGCAGCGGCGGCCGCAGCGGTGTTACGGAGCATGGAGCTACCGCTCGATGAAGGTAGGTTCTACAAGGTAGATGGTATGATTTGGTATCAATCATCATTGTGCTATTATTCTTCAATAATATTAAGGGTTGTCAACTTGTCATTGTACAACATATGGCAGGAACAAAACTGCGAGTTTCTGCCGCGTCTAGGTCGTGAGAGTACCCCTGACCGGCACACTTGTAATAATAGTACACTTGTCTGGGTTTCAGGCGAGGACAACAGCAGAGACCCACACGCCAGCACCGTGCGCGCCAAGGTGCGTATCCTAGCTTCTAAAGGTATGACAACCAAGTGCCTACTTCGAAACCTATTACTCTTTGGCTGCCATCTTTTTTCTATCGCAGCCTGTTCTGGTATCTCTCTTTCCCGTTTCTGTATCAGTACACGTGTTTTTTTTTAAATTCCCTTTCTTTTGACCGCTTTATTACACCAGTCACCTGCGTTCGTTGACACAGGCACCCTAAACAAAGATATTGAAAGATACCGCCACTTCTGATTATATTGACAGCACAGGTTATTTGCTCACTAACTTCAATACTGTAATCTCTTTGCCTTTTCCTGACACTATTTATGGTACAATTGTCGAGGGTAGGTGTTGCACATCATCAATTTCTCTGGAATCTTTGTCGAATAGCCCCAGCATAGAAGGTCAACCTCTCTGAAATTCATTAACTGACCTGCAGGCTACCCACAAAAAAAAAAAAACACATCCAACGGCTACAGGACTTTTTCTGAATTATGATTAAATATCATAATAACGGTTATAGAGTAAAACTTCAATTAAAAGCTTAGATGGAACACTGAATAGCAATCCAATAGAATATTTTTAGCAGCCACCGTCATGGAACACTCGAAAAGCGGGAAAAATAGGATTATGAACGAGTTTAAAGGAAAGCATAACGTGCATTGAACCACTTTCATGATACGCAAATTCTAATTACTCTTGGTTACCCAGACTGCCTAATGACTGAGATGCACACCATTTCTAGCTCTGGATTGTGCTACAAAATGTCCCTTTTGCAATATTCACCATTTAATTTGCTTCATGCAAAAACCCTCAAATTTCAACACTTATAGCAGAAAAGCAATAATTCATTAGAATTAATATAAATCAACACGATTTTGAAAAGGTAATAAATACCTCGGATTATCTTTCCAATAACAACACCAGAACGACTACAATATGAAGCTGCCACTTTCCAATGAAGTAACTATTTAAACACGAGTCTTCCACCCCTCCGGGTACGAGAGAAGGAATTGATAAGATTAGGAAGAAGGCGAACTCAAAGAGCTTTCGAACAATCCTTTATTGTGAACACGAGGAACCAACTCATCCCAGAGAAACAAAACAAAAACAAGCGTAATCAAACAAAATCAAGCGACTTGAATATAGAATCAGAAGTTTACAAAGCCGAGTAATAGTGCTAAATCAACAGAATCCACAGTGTAGAAATGGGTTTAAGCGATAGTATCTTTACTGCAGAATAAATTCATAGTTTTTAATCAACAGCATTTTTCCAGTTAACTAATAAGGCTGAATGAAGAATCAACAAGATCCATACAGCAAGTTTGAAACACTGAATTAATTGGTTCTAAAGAACGCAAGCATGTATAACTTTTAATTCATATATAGTACGAAAGAAATTAAATGACCCGAACTTATGTCAAAGCATTCTAAAAGTCAGTTTTTTCAATTGGTATTAATAGAGTATTATAATTATAAGGATTCTTCTTATTATTATTACCATTATTATCAAACAGACTGAAATACCCATATAAATTGTAACGTTAGGAGGCGATATAGGCGAGACAAAAACAGGCCAGCATTCAAACTAAGTCACGCATCAGAAAAACATTAATATTGGGGGATTTATACCGGTGGTTATTAGATGAAATTAAATCGAAAAAAAAGAAAAGTCTAGAACCGATTGGTCATGCCTTCATGAGGGCATGATTTCAATTAAGATAAAATTCACACTAAGCTCAAAAATATATGCAAGTTTAGTCTTTACTGCCCAACTCAGCAAATTCGTGCACCAAATTTGTCGCGATTTACTGATGAAGCCCTCAAGCAGGTGGCAAGTTCATCAGAAATGAACGATTATACAAGTAACCAGGTAAGTGATATTATCAATCAACATCACCCGTGCAAGAGTGAACAAAGTACTGACACGAACCAGATAAACTTTGGAAAAATTCAGTGAACTGAATTCGGGATAATAAAGGATCAACAAGTTACCTGCTGCTGCAGGTGGGAAGGTGAATCGCGAAGACGAAGGGAAGTGGGAAGCAAATGGTGGGTGGGAGGTGGGGAAAGCAAGCCTTGTGTTGGGGGTCCCCCATTTGCGACTGGGGACCCAGGACCACCCAAGCCACTGGAGGAGGTCGAGAGAGACCCAGATGAAGTGGTGGTGGCAGGAGTGGCAGTAGACGTCTCGACGTCAGCGTCAGCGTTGTACGTCAGCACCGAGGTCGACACCAGGAGTTTATTGGCGGAAGATTTGATGAGCGAAGCGTCCGTGGTTTTGCGATGGTAAGCGTCCGTCCCTTGTTGCTGCTGCTGCTGTTGACGTTGTTTTGCCAGTTGCTGTTGTTGCTGTGCTTTCAGAAGGTCTTCCGGACCAAACTCATCACTGTTGTCTTCTAAGCCGTACTTGGAGAAGTGATTCACCTTACATGGGAAAAAATATCAGTGAAAAATATGATTATGTTATGTTGGGATTATCTAAGAAGTTCTGGAAAAACAAATCGAAAAACAGTAAACAAACATTTTCTCAGTAAATATATCAACAAGTTTTAATGAACAGGTGCATATGATTAATTAAATTAACACAGCAAAATGTCCTTGAGTTTAAAATGGTCGGTCTCTAGAAACCAAAATTTAACACAGAAACTGAATCACTGTAGCGTGTTGTCGTTTACCAAAAATTTTCAAGTTCTGCATAGGAAAATTTTCCAATGTAATTTCTAATAATTGTCTAGTTAATAGTCACCTTGAAGACCCATGAGCCAGTATCAGGCCTATACTCCAAAAACTTGGCCCCCAGACCGAGACATTTCTTCTCGAGGTACTGCGACCAGCCCATGGCCTCCAGCCTCTCGTTATCCTTGATCACGTCGCGGGAGCTCTTGTCGATAGGCCACACGGCGTCCAGGGTGATCTGTGAAGGCGGTGAAAATTTAGTGCATCGGACAAATGTAATTAAATGATAGACAAGAGAACGGGAAATAAAGCTCCATAAACGAAATAGTACATTATGTTCAAATTCTTGATACGAACAATTTTAATTAAACTGTAGCAATTATTTTGCAGATGATGACAATGTTGAAGGTAAAGACAAGTAGGTAATATGTTGATTACAGATGCTGGCAATAGGGCATAGTAACCTGAATGAAATCAGATTTGAAGTTGCACCATAAATGTGCCGCCAACCTGACCAAAAAACCCTTACAAATTAGTCAAACAATTTCAAGACAGAACTATACTTATCCATACAAATGGCATTGTACAAAACTTTTAATTACAGCTCCTTGGTAAATTCTGTCATCAAAATAATGAAGCCCAGAAAACGTAGGATTAATATAAATTCACGAAGAACGTCTTACTCAGTTAACCCCTTAAATGTGAATAAATTAAACAATATAGCACAATTTATTAAACAATTGTAGACTGTGACTTACCACGGCAGGTTTGTTGAGTCCTTCGCCAACTTGAGGCTTGTCCGTGCCGTCAGGATATACTTCCACTGCCTTGCGCACGATGAACACGATGCTGTCCAAGTCTAGTCCCATCACGTCCGTCTCTGACGTGAAGCAAATGTTGCCGTAGCCTTCACGACCAACGCTGAAGTTCTCAACCAAACACTGGCCATTCTCATCGATGAGGTTCGCTAGTTCAGACATGGACGGTATTGTGTAGTACCCCGCACGCGTCAGTTTGATGCCCGTAGGGTGAGGCTGTGGAAACGAGTTACATCAGTAATAAGACATCCCAATATCACAGGAATTGTGTTACCAAATTCTGACGAAATTATACTTTTGCACAAAATTTCTCTTCGTCAAGTAAATAAGAGATAATTACATTCAATATTTTCCCAAAAATATGTCATTTCCCAACGTATCTCAAACTTTCATATCTTTCTAAGTCAATGGCCAACAATTGATCTAACAATCTATAATCACTAATGGGAAAGGAATCCCAGCACCAAAGGAAAAATATCAAAATCTTACCGGGTTGTTTGACTGAGACACGTCCCGGTCTGAGAAGTCCCGAGAGGAAGCCTCGAAGATTGTGTAGTTGGCATTGCTGGTATTGCCCATGTTGGAGGACATGTTGCCCGCGTCACCAGTGAGCGAGACATTCCCGTTGCTGGCATCGCGATTCTGGCAGGAAAAGTGAAGATGGAGTGATAAATTTTCTGGTAAGGTGCATGTTGTGGGCCAACAATTCCCCAATTTCACAATCAATGCATATTCCTTTACGTGGACCAGCATGCTGGAGGCTATTTGTAGCATATTTAATCAAGTGCTAAAGGCCATAGGAGTGCAAGTCCACAGCCACTGCCTCAACACTTCACAAATACAAGTCCATACATGGCCATACCGGACCTATCTTTCTAGTCATTGGCTGCGACGCGGTGGAGAGATGGCGTAAGTGATAAGATTGGGTAATATTGGGTTTGTATTTGTAATGTCAGGTATGAAGTAGTACGAGAATCGGTCAGGTTTTTAGTGATGCAGAGTAGCTAGCTCCGAGGCTGAGGATAGCGATTGCATATTGAGAGTGGGCCTTAGCTTCAAGGCTAGTTTAGAAATTAGAACAGATGCCATTGGCTGCGCTCTCAAATCTGGGATCAAAGCCATGCAGTGTATCTACATTCCAGATCCTAACAATACAGAATGAATTATACGTGAACAAGGTTCACAAAAAAATTCATACACTGCACCACAGAAAAATAGCAGGCAAAATTTACATAAAGTTCGCCATTCATTATAAATATTTTAAAACAAAACAATAATGGAATTTATTGCAATAAACTACTCATGACAAAAAGATGCAAACAACTCACCCCATACGAACGACCGCCGCCATTTAAATCGGTAATGGTGTCGTTAAAGTTGCCAGCAGCACACTTCTTAGCCAAGTTTAGTTTTTTAATGTTGTTCCGGCCCTGAGGAAAAAAATTATTAATTGTTTAATCAATCTTTGTACGAAGAATATCAGATATTAATTAGTCCATGAGCAATATTATATTGTATGACATATATATAGGTACCTTCCAGAATCTAAAAGATTTGCTCAAGCTTCATTAAAAATAGTTTTGATAATTGAAGAAATTATTGAAAATGAATTTTCAGCAGCTAAGTAATCATTCAAGCATCTAACATGAAGTACTCAATTCAATGGGAAAAATGGTGACGCAATAACGCTGGGGCAAGATCCCTATTTCTAAGCGGAACATATGAATCCTATGCAAAATTTTTCGAGAAGGAACCGCACGAGAATGTATATTTCACCCCTTACTAATTAATCCCAAGATTTTGGAATGAAGTTTTAAGAAGTAGAATCGAAAAGATGACCAACATCAATAGGATATATAAAGTTGTTAAATGCAGATATGCAAGACAAAATCACGTTATAGTGGCTGCAACTTGCGCAGTTACATGCATACAGTCTAAAAAAAAAAGACCTCGTCATTCGCCCCTATGTTAAGTTCATGACGGCTATTTCTTCATCGATTCAGATTCAGTCCACAGGTGAGAAATGGTAAGAGACCAGCAATCCTATATAAGATAAACTGCTACAGAAATATCTATAGGTAAAATTTACGACTGAATTAGATGTTTGATGCAGGAAATTTGGCATCCTTATTATAAGTGACGAGCTGAAGTTGGCGTCACAATAAGCTTACGAAATACCTTGATAATATCAGGCGTTGCAGAAGTGTCTGCAAGCTGAGGAGAGACGGGAGGGTGGAGGGGTGACGTGAGGGGTGACTGTCCTCTGTCCAGGCCAACACTAGGAGTGCTCGAGCGACTTCCCTGTTATGAAATTTATCATTTTCTTTCACGTATCACCAATGGTCAGGGGATGTGTTAGTAAGGGGCTGTGTTAGTCAGAACTCGTGTTAGTACACGTAGCGGCCGAGTTCTCGTCTGTGATTGGAGGTTTTAGCTTGAGAAGCCGTCAGTGATTGGCTAATGAAGTTACGATATATATAAAACTATATTGATTGATAGTGCGGTCTCAGATCGTTGGAGTTCGTTGTGGATCCCAAATAAAATGTTCACAACAACTCAGGTAATATATTTCTGCTTTTTGACAAAGCAAAACTATAACGTACAAGCAAGCGGTACACCATTCTTCGCCTCGATAATTAATGGCAATGAAATTTATTGAAAGGAAAGATAGTTATTGATATACTACTGATGAATTGAAATTTTGCAAGATAGAAGATCTCAAGTGACATTTGGCATGAAGATTTTCTAGTACAACCACACTTTAATGACGTCTTAAAATAATATAAATGTTACAATCTGTACGAACCGAAGTGCCGGTGGATGAAAGCAGCATGCCATTTTTGGCGCTATTGAAGACCTTGAGGTTGAGCTTCTTGACGCTGGGGAAGGTTTTCGTCTTGAAGATTTCTTCGCCGCCATTGGACTCGTTGGTGTCATCAAGACCAGCAAAGAGGAGGCTTCTGTTGTTCATCAGATTACCGGCATCGCCAATGGAGGAGTTGGGGCGAGGCTGAGGGGCGAACGTTTTTTGTGAAGGCAACACATAAGTTGGAGTTCCGGAGCTCCCAGATCCCAGTTTGGCGTTGTTGCCGCTGGCTGGAGGACTCAATAGCTCGTCAGCTTTTCCTGGAACACAGATGTAGATGATCAGAACCATGTAACGTGTACTCAGTCATTCAGACTGGACTAAAATATAAGTAAACGTACTATATCACACTTATCATTGTCAATATATACAGCATTAAATTTTAAAATACAATATTTACCTTATTTGGAGCATGCATGGAAAATCAACACGGAAATTTTACAATATATTGACAGCCTTTGGGTACATCTCTCTTTTACTTCAGGTGTTTGTTTTCAGATTATCGTTCATTCTCAAGACTCACCAGTTGCCGACGCAGGAGTTTTCAGCAGCGATGAATGTCCAAACGGGTTGTCTGTTAGGGCTTTGATGAGGTTAGCAATGTTATTTTCTCCCAGTCCAGCCGCCACAGTGTTATTGTTGCCAAGAAGACCACCACCACCTCCACCTCCAAGAGTTCCAGAAGAGCCAAAACCCCCACCAAGGGTTCCAAAACCTGAGGGTTTATTGGCTGTGTTGTTGAAGCCGAACCCTCCCAACGTGTTGCTGCCGCTGTTGAACGTAGAGCCTGTGTTGAAGGTCAGGCCTCCAGCAGGTTTGTTTTGGTTGGCAGTGTTGCCAAACAAACCTCCTCCTCCCGTGTTGGTGTTCAGGTTGCCAAACAGACCACCACCTCCACCGGTGCTTGTGCCTGTATTGAAAGCTGTTCCTGTGTTGCCTGCAAAATTAAGCAAAATATTTGTTAACATTTTTTCCAGTTAAAAGATTAGTGCTAATGAAATTCAGCGCGCTCTTTCAAGTTGGAAGCAGAAGACTGGAGAAACAAGAATTGAAACCACAAATTCAATATTGCATTGAATAAACCTAGAGCTATCAAATGGAACAGAAATGTTCAATCATTGTGGTTATTTCACCAGATGGTATAGTTTTAATGGTAACTTACCAAACGTCGAGGTGGTGCCAATACCAAAGCCAGGTTTGCTTTGATTGTTTCCAAACAAGCCGCCTCCCGAAGTGGCATTTGCGCCAAAAGGCGATGCCGTGGACGTTGCCCCAAAAGCAGAGGTAGCGCCTGTATTGAAGCCTCCAAAGGCTGGAGTGGCAGCAGGCTTACTGCCGAACAGACCTCCTCCAGTGGACGTCGAGGTAACGGCTCCAAATGCTGGTTTTGGTTGGCTGAACAAGCCTCCACTCTGATGAAATCAAACGCAAGAAAACGGAAGGCCTTAAGATTGATACGCAGAACGTGTACAACACCACAAGTGAATGTGAATTACTTGAATTTCTTTATACAGAATATTACAATAAATAACACACGGGCATGCAATAATGTCAAACTCACTTAAGCAATGCAATGCTTGTTTCCACAAGTGAATAATGTTGGTTTGTTAAGAAAAATCCAATGGAAGTACAAGCAAGTATAGTAAAGTGATAATAACGCAAGTCATAATAATCTCAAAGAGCTCAGCCACAAGGTTCTTGCACTCGTGGTGTTAGATCATGAAAAATAATGAGACCAACCGGCTGAGACGTGGCATTCTGGCCGAAAGAAAAGCCAGTGTTGGTGGCCCCAAACCCAGTACTGGCTGGTTGCTGCTGTCCAAATAAACCACCACCGCTGGTGTTGTTGTTGCTCGGCATGAAGGAGAAGCCTGCAACACATCATCATTATTACTTGTAGAAGTCTATATGACAGAAATCGTCAAATGTTGACTACGAATATACATAAGAAAGTTGAGACTACTCCCTACTCACACACTATATGATAAGAAAGACATAACTGATACCATACGATTAACTAACCATGCATCATTTAATCTCAATATTGGCATTAAACACGATACCCCTTCGATAAATAACTGAAATAACTCGTACAAACCACCAGGTTTGTTCTGCTGAGTGTTTTGGCCGAATGCAAAACTTCCAGTTGATGTTCCTGTCGTTTGGCCGAATGATGGAGTTGTGGTGCTGCTGCCAAAAAGACCGCCACTACTGCTAGGTGCGGCAAACCCTGAAGCAAATAACAACAATCATGATGTAACCGTTGATATTTTTACACATCAACTTAGACTGTATTATACACAAGAATAATAATCAATAGCTACAAACAATTTTAAAAAATGATGATGATGACAAGTTTAAAAGAAATGGGACTTTCAGTATTCATTACAAGTGAAAAATTTAACGAGTTGAAGGGTCATTTACAGTGATAATCTTAGTTGAATTGAAGAACTGTATTTTAACATTTGCGTCTTCCTTATTCTAATAAGAGCTTGACAAATTTAAAAGAAATGACAGCTAAAGAAGCATTAGATGCTTCTTAGCAATTAAGTGGGTTGCAAGATCAGCTGACCTGTATTGGTAGATCCAAAAAGTGGTTTGGTCTCGGCAGGTTTCTGACCAAAGAGACCCCCAGTGTTGGTGGCGGTGGAGCCAAAAAGACCTCCTGTCGAGGCTGTGTTCTGACCAAAAGCCCCTGTCATGAGGCCACCTCCTTGTCCTGGACCCTTGCGATTGGCCAGATAATCTTCAACTCGGAGCTCTTCAAGAGACTTGTTTTCATACTCCTGCACAAAAACAAGTCATGTGTCAGCTGTAGAAGGTTAGGATAGAAACCACACAAACAGGTCTCAGTTTCACCATTCAAGAGCGTGACTTGTAGATTTAGACATGCAGACGTGCTCAGGAGTAATTTAAGATCATTTGCACAGGGATAGAATAAATTCCAATCAATTCACATGAAAAATTTGTCATTTACAAATAGATTATTCAAACCCCGTGTAAGCCATCAGTGATCCATTTAGGACAACTTTTATGCCCACCTTCGAAGATGCAACTTGTACCAGACCACATGGAGAGTAGGTACTCAAATGAACATAAAAATAAAGTTCATATTGTAATTGTCAAGACAATAATTGCAAATTTACCTTCATGCAAGTGATAACTTCAATGCGAGTCTGGATGTTGGTGGTGGTGCTATTCCGGGTCATGGTATCAGTGGCGGTGATGGGCTGATACTTGATGGTCGTCCCCACAGTGCTGCCAGTACCTGCTCAGGAATATATACTAGTCAAAGATCTCAGAAGATTTGTAGAAGCAAATTTGTTAGCTAGCACAAATTTGTAGCTAGCAATGTTCGTAGGTGCACTGGCTGGATAAGAGTTTTTTTTTTCAGAAATAGCTCCACAATCCTTAGGTTTTGGTCTCTTTTACTTTGGTATTGGTCTCTTTTATATCATTAGTTGCAATTGATTCGGGTCGCTATGCATTTAATCTAAAATAATTTTACACATTATCAACAATTACAAATACGAGTACATACCATAAAAACTCTTTTTTATTAAGCAATTTAATTTCTTGAGACACAATAGATAACATCATAAACTGCTTGCAAATCACGGAAAAGAATGAAGCTTTAACGTAATAGCTCACCTGCACCAGAACCAAATAGCCCCCCTGAGCCAGTAGTGTTGAAGAGGCCTCCTCCTGTCGTGTTGGAAGGAGTTGCAAAAGCAAAAGGCTTGTTTTGGGCACCAAAGGCATTGCTGGAGTTGGTGGTGGAACTGCCAAACAGGCCTGCAGCAAAGACAATGTGAAATTTTTCATGTAATGAATAAAATAACGTCTTTGATAATTGGAAATATAATAATTTTAATTAATTGAAGAAATCATCGTGAGACATGAATTAAAGAAGAGGCAAATAGCAAGTAACAGTAACTTTTAAAGCTAACCATCAACACAAAGAGATACAATACATATCACCTGAAACAGTAAAGTTCTCCAGAATTCAAGAAAGACAAAGTAAACAACATAGAAAGACAACATCAAGAAATAGCTTTAATCTCACCACTAGATGCAGTGCCAACGGTGTTCTGTGTGCCAAAAAGACTGCTGCCAGTGTTGCTGGTTGCTGTGGTGAACCCAGTTGGCTTGCTGGCCCCAAAGCCACCAGCTGCAGTGCTGCCAAACAGGCCTGTTCCTCCTGTACTGCCAGTCTGACCTGTAAAAATTTTCCCACAAGGAAAAATCATAGTGGGTAATTTCCATAGAAAAATCAAAGGGGAATCAAGGACAATCAATTTGAAGCAAGTCAATGTGGATAATTCAGCCAGTACCATCAAGAAATTGACTCTAGGATTGGATTGCAGTCATCTCACAAAAGCACAAACAAAAATAAGAAAATTCCAGACTTGAGATCTACAAAGCAGCAAGTGGAAAAATGTCAAGCAAATTTAAATGGTAAAGTAATGAAACACAGAAGAACAGCAGTTTAGTGTTATTATATACAAATTCAAAATTCTAAGTGATTTCTCTTTGACCATATCATTTCAACAACTGATAATATATTTAATTTGACAATAAATTTATGTATTACTTTTATGGTAAAATCTATTTGAAATAAAATGTTGAAAAAATTGCAGAGAGACATACAGGGTTGGCAATGATTAAATCAAAATGATTAAATCATGTGATTAAATCACTTGATTTTTTATAAAAAAATCATGATTTATTTGATTTTTTCGAT